CCCCTACAATGATAGATGCCGTCAAGCTGTTCCAGCTTGAACAGACCCACGACACAATATCATTTCTATCAGGAGGAGTAACTCGCGACGCGTTCTCGAGCTACGTCTTGCATCTCCAATCGAAAGCAGTATTAGTACGGGCCGTGACCCCAAGACGCTGCGCTGCCCGACTCTATTCAAGCGCGTGATGATCTGCGACTTGCTGTCGTAGTCGGTCGACCCAAAACTTGCGCAATTTACTCTTGAACGGGTGATTCCACGCTACGTCTGCTGGTACTTTATGCAGCACAATGTTGATAGATGCTGCATACTCTACGACTTCTGGGGTCCAGTGCCCCGAGAAGTCGTCCCAGAGTAGCAGCATATTGGCTTCTATGTTGGCGCGGTTTGCGAAGTGATACTCCAAGAAACGGAGAGAGATCTGCGAATTCCACCATGCAGTTGAATTGCCATAGATTTGGCACTGATGCTGCGTCTGAAGAGCATCCATTTTGGGCCACAAAACTGGCCGAAAGTTGTGCTGGTTCTCCTCGTTGCTGCGTTGTCTGCACTTATCTTTTGCATCCTTCACTTTGAAGATGATTATCGGGGGGGGGGGGTATTTGTTGCCGTGCCAGTCTGCCAGTAGCATAACTTTCGCTCTCTCCTTATCCTTGCCAGCACATTTAATCCAGATCGTTCTCTCTCCTTTTGCATCGATCGTTTTTGTAGGTAAGTACTCGTAGAACACCGCGGTCTGATCCACATTCAGCACGGTAGTGATGTTGTGCTCGAGAATCAGCTCCTTCACCTCTTTCTTGAACTCTTCCGCCTTCAACTGTGCGTCTTCGGGCGTCGTTTGACCCTGGCGGGTTTTGGCGCGAATGGAGAACCGGTTGCGCCGTTTAAAACCCCTCCACCAAGAATGAGATGCGCTAAACAACGACGACGGAATGCCTCGGTCAGCGGCTACCTCACGGGCCTTAAAATGCAGCATCTGCTCCGAGACTGGACAACCTTCTCGCCTTAACGAGCTGATCCACATCGAGATGTACTCTTCTGCACCGTCCGGGAGAATGGTACCGTCGCCAAGTTTGCGCGCCCTTCCATAGTGACCCTTTCCTGTAAGCACATCAGTTCGATGAGGACACGGGACGACTTCCAGTCCGATATAAGCTGCATCCTTTTTCTCCGTTCTCCTTATTCAGTCACAGATGGATAAAACTTCTCTATCGCTTTACCAGTGTCATGAATTACGTCCAGAAAAACAAGCACTTCCAGCTTATGCTTGTAGGTAAATGACGTGCGGCTGTAAGTTTTTGGTTTCTTACCCGTACCAGTGGTGCACTGACGCTCCATAACAGACCCGGAAATACAAGACGTTCGATGTCGACACGAAGCAGAATCACAAGTGGGTGTCAGCTCCGATTTAGCGGTGTCGGTATAGCGTTTTAGTGCGGGCAGAAGCTCACAACATATGAACTCCATTCAGGCTTCTATTGGCTAATATGGTCTGTCGGCAATGAGAAAACGTCGGTTATGAGAGGGGTAAGGCGGTATTTCTGTTGACTAGTTTCCGCCCACGGCGTGATCATTTAAAAATATTCAGAATTCCTAAGTGAAAAACAACTTCTATAAGTAAAGAGTTAGTCGCGCTCATCAGCGTAGTGTCTTTAGCACCGACAGACTGGGCTTGGTCTTGAAATCAAGCGCAGTCTTGTCACCGGTCAGCACGTACTTGAAGAAGTAAACTCAGCTGCTATGTTATCATGCGTGCTGTGTAGTTTAGTGCTCCTTAATAGCTATCATTTGGTAGTTTCTTGCTGCCAGTACTCGCGATTTTCCTGTTGCCGTCCGTTACCACTTGATGACGTCCACTGTTTTCGAAACAGATAGCCGCATGAATTCATAACCATTACATTGCCCCCAATTGCGATTTATCTGTTATAGAGCGACGACGACGAGGCTTAACAGCTTGTTTAGCTCGGGCCGTCGTCGCATCTACGTTGTGTGCCTGTTAACATGTTGCTTGGCTTGTGTTACCAGTATTTGTTAGGCAGATCTGTATTCGTCTGGTACGTATTGTATATCGCTCTCAAGTAGTCCAACAACCTGACGTCAGCCGACTGATAAACAAAGTTTTGAAGTTTGAGCTGTACATATTCGTGTAGCGTGTGGATAGGCCCCCACGAGCTCTCATTATCCTCAAGATCTTTCCATGCCACTAGTACTTCGTAGTCATGGTTAAAGCCAGGGAAATACTCCAGAAATCCGCGCACAGTAAGACATACATCTTCGCTGGAGACGGGCTTACATATTTCTTCTGTCACATTAACTGATCTGCTCGCGTACAGTTTCAGTCGAGATGGATGAGCATCTCGGGTGGAGGCGCCATGCAAATGTTCAGCCGTGAGTGAGTTGAAGTTGGCGTCCGCATTTTTGATTGGGTCAGCCCGTTTCACGAAGGGCTTGTTGGCGACATTTAATTAAAAACTAGAAAAAAATGAAATTTACCCATGTGATAGCTTTCAGGGTGCGCACTGCGTTGGTTCCTCTGATTGCGCTCTAATAGGGATATACTGCCAGTGCTCCGGCTAATGATTCTCGAATTTCGTCTGCACCAAAATAAGTGGGAAGACTGGTTACCTCTTGTCCAGGCAAACTTAGACCAGTCCAGTCGCTGGCCAACTTGTCACCCATAATAGTCTTCCGTAGAATGAATCACCCCTCTACAGATCGCTGTGACAGTAGATAGCTACTGTGAGCAAGTGTATTAGATTGAGAGGATATTGTGGTAAAGGTGGGAGAGCTCATGGACTCTCTCGAGAATATGCGTCGCAATTTGGAAGAGATTATCTGGGACAGTAAACAGTGATGAAGTCTTGTTGAGTCTGAGTGCAATGTCGCAATTCTACAATCAGATTTTTCTTAAACGGAGTTGTCGTGTCACGTCTTCCGGCCCCCAAATCTCTTTATCCACTCCGAAATTGCATGGTCAGCGCTCACTGTATAGGCACTTTTGCGAGTAATCATCCTTCAGCACTAACACGTAGCTATTTACCCCAATAAAGTACTGACGCTCAAGTAGTCCACATGTAGTGTCTCGTTACGCTCCAATGAACGAAACAATTCTCCGCATCGTCGAGGATATTGCACCTGGGTATACCAAGGATGACACCATGCTACGGTGATCCTTCCGCTGTCAAAGGGTACAAGCCTACAATTGCAGTGTGCCGTCAGCTCCTATGTCTGCGCTGTTCTGTACCGACTCAAACGAGGGAGTATACGTATGGAGCAGAGCGCTACCTTTATCGAGGACATCTACGGCATCATGTAGGCACCACCAGTATTTCACGCCAGCTACAGCGGTAATGAGGAGGTCGTGCGCATGCTCTTCGGAGATCATTCAAGAGTATGAGATCTCAGAGAAAGTTTAACCATTCCCGGAGATTTCATACTCCTCGTCGCTGCTTCTCTTCGCTGGCCGATATGTCGTTACCACCAAGCGAATTATCGTCATTCGTTTTATTCTCATCACTCGCATCGGAACCAGCTTCATCATCTTTACGTCCACGTCAGAGAAACTGGAGATGTGAGTGCTATTTACTATGTTTCTCCCTCTCGCATCTCCCCTGGGTCTTCAGTCTCCAAAGCTTCGCTGGGGCGCGCAGGATTGTCTTTAAGCTGTCTCTGCGCTGTCTTGTCTTGCATAGCTTTAAGTATGAGTGCTGTTTTCTTAGTGCGCGCCATCGTGCTGGTTGCTACATAAAACAAGCTGTTTTCTTAGTGCGTGCCGTCGTCCTAGTCGCTACATCATATAAATGTAGAAGCCATTAATAAACATGTCAAACACACAGACTTGACATGGATAAATCATGCTGCGACACAAAAGTGTCCAATTACCCGCCAGAGATCCGTGCGGCCACCACAGGTAGCCTTTAAGTGCGATGAATTCAGCTACACACCCGCACCTACAAATACGAAGCGTTAAAATTCTTCTGTTTGGAGCATATATCGTCCAAATACTTGTGCTAATACATACCCTTCTTTCGATCTCTTCTCTACGTAGTAGTCGTGTGTCACTAACGCCGGTTTTCCTAATACGTACTTTTCGATGGTAGGTAGGAAGGGAAGCGTCCGCGTCAGTATCTCTGGTCAGCACGCTAAAGAATCGTTTAGATGGCACCACAAAGTCGCCATAAGGAGTCGCATCCGTGGTACTGGAAGGGGAGGATTGACGCGTCGGGGGACCGGGGAAGGCTTGGCATCGTGCTGAATCAACTCGGGTCAGACTGCGGGGCCCGGCCGTCAGGCAGGTAGTGGTGGCAGCTGAAGCGTCGGTGGTAGATAGTGGCGCATGGGGAACCACGCGAGATTATGTGTGGCTCGTATTAAAATACTGTACGAAGGGAAAATAACAAATTACAGACATGGACAAAAACGTGCCCAAAGAGCAGCTTTAAGCATGGTTAATAGAAGATGGGCTGTATATTTTCTGTATAAAAAAAAATCAGAAAAAACAAAATTACGGGACATTCCGGCTTGCTTTATACTGTGACCGATTTAAACTGGCAAAGGTGTAGTCAGCGATCTGATGGTGAATTGGGTAAGATTGCGATTATAGATTTGTTGAGCGTGAAGAG